GAGCCCAAGTTCGTGGCGGCCTTCGGCATCCCCGACAGCGACGACCGYGACGACGACAAGGTCTATTTCTTCTTCACCGAGACGGTGGCCGAGGGCAAGGAGCGCGCCGTGCTGAGCCGCGTGGCGCGCGTCTGCGTGGTGAGACCTTGTGGGCACGGGGCGGGCTCTCCATGTCCCTTTGCGTGCGCCGAGGACGGTCCCTTGGCCGGGCTGCTCTCCGTTGCCCACTCTTTCCTTCCCAGATGGGTTGGCACCTGTAGTGTCCCCTGGGAAGTGACACCGATGCTGGCTGGAAAAGCTCTCCGAGCTTGGAGAGCTTGCGATGCCYGCGTGTCCGTAGCCCCGGCGTGGGGACCTGGGGCTCCTGGGCGCAGCCGGGCGTCCCCAGAGGCCGCGGTGACGGCCCTGACCCTCCCYGTCCCCGCAGAACGACGCGGGCGGACAGCGGGTGCTGGTGAACAAGTGGAGCACCTTCAGCAAGGCGCGCCTGGTGTGCTCCGTGCCGGGCCCCGGCGGCATCGACACCCACTTCGACGAGCTGGGTGAGGCGCCCAGGGCCCGTCCCGCGGCTCCATGGGGCTCCGGCCAATGCCACACCGGGACTTGGCTCCACGGGGCTCCCGGGGCTCCGGCCAACATCACGCCGGGTCTTGCCTCCCCAGAGGACGTCTTCTTGCTGAGGACGAAAGACGAGAAGAACCCCGAAATCTTTGCGCTCTTCAGCACCGTGAGGTGAGCTTGGTGCGCAGGCGAGGGCCCGGCCTCGGCGCCCGGCTCTGCCGGCTGTGAGGAGCCGCGGGACATCATCCTGCAGCAGCAGACAAGCAGGGACACCAGCRTGCGGAGACGCACCGGGAGGGAAGGGCTGGTGGCACCCGGGGGACAGCAGCATCCCGGTGCTGGGGTCTAACGTTAGGAGAGCGCCCAGCRAGTGCTGGCTCTGCTTGGGCACTATCCCTGTGCAGCGCTGGATGCCGGGGGTGGATTTTAGCCCCGGGGATGTGTCGCAGGGGGCGAGGGGGTCCCGAGGGCTCGGGCCGGCGCCGCTGAGCGCCGCTCGCCGCCCCCGCCGCAGCCACGTGTTCCGGGGCTTTGCCGTGTGCGCCTACCGCATGGCCGACGTCCGCGACGCCTTCAAGGGGCCCTTCGCCCACCGCGACAGCCCCCTGCACCAGTGGGCCGCCTACGAGGGCCGCGTGCCCTACCCGCGGCCCRGCGCGGTGAGCGGCCCCCCAAAAGGGGGGCTCCGTGGGGTGGTCTCCGCCAGGCTCCAGGTCATGGAGAGGGGCTGCTCCCCATCCGTGCAGTGGGATGGGGTTCCCGCAGGAYGCCCGGCTGCTGGCCACCCCACGTTGATGCCCCCCACGTCGGGTGGGGGTCCCCGTGCCCGAGGTGGGGATAAGCTGAGCGGGGGGCCTCTCGGCCCCGCAGTGCCCCAGCAAGACCACGAGCCAGCCCGGGCAGCAGTTCGGCTCCACCAAGGACTACCCGGACGAGGTGCTGCGCTTCGCCCGCGCGCACCCGCTCATGCAGCGGCCCGTGGCGCCGCGGCACGGCCGGCCCCTGCTGCTCGAGACCGCGGCGCCGCACGGCGCGCACCGCCTCGCCGTGGACCGCGTGGAGGCCGAGGACGGCCCCTACGACGTCCTCTTCCTCGGCACKGGTAGGCGGCGCGAGCGGGAGGCGCCGTGGCGCCACGGGCCCCGGGATGCCCGTGGTGGCGCCGGGCTGTGGTGCGGCCGCCCGTGGGGCGGGGGGGATGTGCAAAGGGAAAACCCACGGAGGGATTTTCTTTGAAATAGCCCCTGCAAAAGTAGGGAGGGGAGCTGCGCTTTGCACAAAGGTGGGCAGCGCCTGCCTGCTTCTCCTGCCTCAATGCGCTCCACATGCGCCCGCTCCGCTTCGGCACGGCCAGCTCCATTGCCAGCTCCAGCAGCTTCTATTCCGTCTCCATGCTCCCTTGCCAGCTCCAGCAGCTTCTATTCAGCCTCATACTTTGGGGCTGAAGCTATATGAGATGCAGGAAGCCTGAGGTGGCTCTAGAGGCTGCGTGGATGGAGGACCAGGATGGGGTCCTGGTCCCCATCCCCAGGAGGGTCCCCATGTGCCACCCACCCGTCCCCAGCAGSGAGGCTCCAGGCACGGGTCCGGGTGCTGCGAGAGCCCTCGAGCGGTGCAGGGGTGCCCCCAAATCCCGGGCTCCCCGGCGTGTGCCCGCGCTCAGGCGGCTCTCCCTCCCCGCAGACGCCGGCTCGGTGCTGAAGATCGCAGTGCCGCAGCGCGCGCCCGCCGCGGACCACACCGTCCTGGAGGAGATGCAGGTTTTTAAGGTGCCCTGCGCTGCCCCTCGCTGTACTTCCCAAACCCCCCACGCCCTCGGAGCCGCGGCCCGGCCCCACGGCTGCTCTCGCCCCACAGACGCCCGTGCCCATCACGCACATGGAGCTCTCCGTCAAGCGCGTGAGTGCGGCGCGGCGGTGCCAGCCCTTGCACCCCCCTCCCCAAACCCACCATCCCCACGGTGCATCACCACCATCATCATCATCACCACCATCACCCCCCGCAGCAAACGCTGTACGTGGGCGCGGGCCCCGGCGTGGCGCGGCTGCGGCTGCACCGCTGCGCGGGCTACGGGCCGGCGTGCGCCGAGTGCTGCCTGGCGCGCGATCCCTACTGCGCCTGGGACGGCGCCGCCTGCGCCCGCTACCAGCCGGCGGCCAAGCGGCGCCCGCGGCGCCAGGACGCGGTGTCCGGCACCGGGCAGGACGCGGTGTCCGGCACCGGCACCGGGCAGGACGCGGTACCTGGCACCACGCAGGATGCGGTATCCGGCACCGTGCACCGCTGCCTGCAGCACAACGGCACCGGTGAGCGCCCGCCGCGGTGACAGGGGGTCCCCGTGTCCCGGTGCCAGCGGGTCCGTGGCCGTCGCGGCGGTGCCCGTGGGGCCGGGGCGCTGAGCGCTGTCCTGGGGCCGCAGCGGAGCCGCCGGAGCGGGTGCTGTACGGCGCGGAGCACAGCGGCACGTTCCTGGAGTGCGCGCCGCGCTCGCCGCTCGCCGCCGTGCGCTGGCTCGTGCAGAGGCCGCCCGACGCGCGGCCGCGCCAGGTGAGACCCCCGCGGCGTTCCCGGCGTGACATCCCCGGCGTCCGCCCCGCCTCGCKCCATCCTTCCCCGCCGCAGGTGGAGCTGGACGAGCGCGTGGTGCAGACGGAGCAGGGGCTGCTGATCCGGCGGCTGCGCGGCGCCGACGCCGGCGTGTACACGTGCCGCGCGCTGGAGCGCGGCGTGGCGCTGAGCGTGGCGCGCACGGCGCTGCGCGTCCT